CGTTTACAAGATAAATATGTCGAAATTGCATGTCGGCAGGTAAGTGATATTTAATTTAACCATATTAATCAAAATTTGTTATTTTATAACACTTTCTTAAATTTATTTAAAAAATTGTACACGTGACAAGTTGTTCGTGTACAATTTTTAACTTCGCCTATTCAAAATTGAAGTAGTCGGTCCCAAACCCGAATAAAGGATGGGTGTTTATCTTTTAAAAAAATGGATGAGCTCAAGAGCTAATGTTGGCTCGGTCCACGAGCCACGAACTTCGGCTCGACCTGCGAGTAACGAGCCAAGCAGAATCACGAGCCGAGCTCGTGCGCGTACGGGTCGAGCTGAGCCTGCCACATCTACCCTCGTGTTTCCTTTAGATTTAAGGTCTGGATGAATTTTTGGGGACGGGGCATGAGCTGAAAATTTGAAGATTTCAGGTCCTTGCTTGCAATTTCATATTAGGGTTAGTGTTGCAATTTTTAAAATCTACTTTTAATAATTCAGCCATTTAAGGTTAAAATTCATCCAAATTGGGCCTTTAAAGTTCTGAGTTTAATAATTCAGTCCATGTAGTTTGGAAATTAATTAATTTGGGTCATTAAAGTTCTGAATTTAGTAATAAAATCCTCAAAGTTTATAATTTGTTCAAATTGGCCCCTAAAGTTTTGAATAATTAATTTTTTAACCTTTAAAGTTTTGGATAATTAATTTTTGACCCATACAGTTTTGGATCATTAACCCTTAGGCTCCTAAAGTTTTAAAATAAATGAAATTTGCAAATTCGGTGATTTTATTTTTCAAATTTTGGTAGAAAAGACTCTTTTGAAATGTATAATATTCGAAAGTAAATTAATTGAACCAACATGTTTGCCAAAACAATCTCTTTTGTTGAAATTAATTAACTTAAAATATTAAAAGGTATTTTTGTGTGTGATATTCATGTGAATATTTGATAGGCCCAAAGGAATGTCAATATTTGACCGATTTGCACATATACATTTGGTGATAAACATGTGGCGATTATTTGGTTTAATGTGTGATCAATAAATCGGTCTAAAAAAGGTTTATTGATTGATATGTTTCTTTATTGTCAGTGTTTGATCACTACACCAAGAGTACCACTATAAGTCAATATTTTTGTCAAAAGACTAAATATTGATGTTGTGCTAGTATCTTGTGATGTGCCCTACCAATATTTGAAATTAATATTTTCATATTAAGGATATTTATGTGAGTCGTTCCAATTAATCGTTCTCTAATTCAGTTT